TACAAAATTATGATGCTGATATTTACCCAATCGGAAAATTTTCTCACAAACGTTATGAAGATGTATTCATAGAATATGCCACTCTTCCTAGTAGAACATAGTTATTATAGCACAAATAAAATAATATACCAATCATTAATTATAATAATTTACTCACCCTCTTTTCAACAGTTTATTAATTAGCATATATGTATTTCTATGGTGTACAGTATACTGCAATACGTAATCCGATAGATCATGATTCGTAAAAAAATTGTGTTAAGTGTAGCTTCATAGAATTATAGGCTCTCAGTTAATATGAAAATATCATATACCCAATATAATCATAATTTATAATCAACAGCACTATGCACTATTACACTATTATGTCCTCGAACTCTGCCCACCGACATGAATATATCAAGCTGAAAATTATGCCAATATTTTTCTAATAATCAGTGAGAATTTACGAGTATACTCCTAGAATTTTCGGGCATCTTTTACACAATAAACAGGAGAGTGGGTCAACTAAATGTAGCCCACCCACATTTATTAAATTATTGTATATGCTGCTAAGTCATGTTCGGTTGTGTTAGTTTATGAACGCAGGTCATACGTTTCTACGACCTGTAAAATATATCTTAGAAAACTTTATTTATATCAGTGCAACAACCCGGTTCGTGTAGAGGGAATAGCCAACCATCTACTCCTTAACTGGATAGGATTAGGTATAAATATCGACAGCCACTTGGTTTAAATAATCTAGAAGGTGTGTTGCAATATGTTAAGGTAATGCTTATTGAACCAATTGGTGAAGTGTATAAAAAACAAATAGTCAAGCTGTTATGTTGACAAAGCTAAAAATAATAACGAATTTATGTTGAATTCAGGATCGTCCTTCATAATGGAACTGTTAAAAATTAATATTAAAAACAAAATTTCACAACTTAGTAGGTTGTATGCATGGTATATTTTTTAATGAGTATTAATAAGTAGATACTTACTTCCTAAATAAATACTTTATTTTGTACTAAAAAAAAATAACTTCTTTAAATATATTATTTCTTGTATAATTGTAAACGTGTAAACTATAACTTGTATACTTAAAAACTTGTATACTGTTCGTCGTCACTCCATCGAGTGCAATTTGGAAATTATGCATTTAAATGTAACAAATGACAAAAAGTAGTGCAAGCGCTATTTTTTGAGCGACAAGCAACAACAATATTTAAACATGAAATGATATGTCGATTTGGTGGGTGGGATAAACTATAAAGTGATTTTCAGTTGCAATTATAAACAAAATTATATGAATGACATGTTACTAACACGTCACTTATCATTTCACTCGTCAGATCAAGCGTCATATTGCTTTGGTGAGTGCTGCCCCTTATATAATATACATCTATTTCGTCATGATATATATTTAAAAATTTAATCTCAATCCCGGGCTAAGATATAATGCCATAATGGAGTGAAAACGACTTGGAAGTCACTCCGTCTGGTCTTCGCTAAAAATGTTCGTATAGGTACAATGATTTTTTAATATTAAATTTCAATTTAATACATTCGCAACTCCTCAATAGACATGTCTATTACAGCAGAGAGGTACCAACTCATTAGCCCACCTCTTTTAAAAAATTAATTTTTTTCTTTTTGTATTTAGATTTGAAATCAAGGGCAACAATAAGTGCTACTTAATTTAGAATAGTTCCGTAGCTTTGGGGGTTCGGTCGGAAACGAAGCCAACTCATTTTGCGTGGTGAGTTTTTCTTATAATATAAATGAAAATAAAATTCCCGTAGTTAATATAATTTTTTTTTAATAATTGCCATGTATAATTAGGTCGTAGGTCTGTTGACCGCGATCAATCCCCTGTCGGGAACATTCGTATCAAAGTGCGGTGAATGGTTAGTTAACTGGATGCCAGTGATGAACCATAAAATTTTGTCGTGCCTTGACAAAAAAAATGGGAAATACAAGTGATGTCTGGGCCATTGACATAATATAATTATATGTCATTATATTATGTCAATGGTCTGGGCGTATCACGAATTCGTGTTATTAAGCTTTGGTGACCAGCACCTCATGAACGTCTTGTTGAGACACAAGCCAGGTAAGTTTTAGCCATGATTATAGTTATTAATTATTATGAAAACTCTCGAGAAATTTTCTACAAAATATAATGTAACTTATTCCTTTTTTTACCGTTATTTAACTTTTTAGTTTAGCACTCTGGACACTGACAGTCTTCAATGTCTCTGGTCATTGGTATGTATCCAATACCAGGATATGCCCTTCCTATGTCCCTCATAAACCAACAGAATTGCTGCTGTATACCACCTTCTCAGTTTAAAATATTAGTGCGGTACATCCATTCACCAATGTAAGAGGTTGACACTCTTGGGTAGTTACACCTAGTTAGAACTCGTTTTAGTTTACGCCACGAAGGCTCGATGTGTTGGGTATGGTATCGAATTGCCAATTGTTTCCATGTTGGGCGGCAGTGCGTCTTCCCACTGCTTGTCCGAGCACTCGGGGCTGAATCGACCGGCAGGTACAAAAATTGGTGGTAAATGTTTGGGTGGCTCGACAAAGTTAACCGTATGGTTAACTACACCATGTCCACTAAAGCCACATAAAATATTTATACTTATTATGAACTCTTTAAATTACCTTGTTTGCTTTAAAAAATGTATTTAACTCTAAATAGTATAATAATTAGTTTAATTCATAATTGTGGGTAGGTACTGTACTACTGTATGCAATTCTTACGAGGAATTTTATTTTACATTTTTAATATTTAGCTATATGACGAAGGGTTTTTGCAACATTCAAAACTTGACGCGGGCTACGGCGGTGCTGTCTGTCGCGGTGTGTTGGTGATTGTGTCGGTTTTATTGTGGTGGTGACACTCAAGAAAAAAAACAAAACAAAACGCGGGTCTGGTTGGTAATAGCCGGTGTATTTACACTAAAACTAAAACTTCTTTATTACACTTTAAAACAATGAGGTATTGTACAATGTGTGAAAATGCAGTGTGGGTGACGGTAGTGATAAGCGACGGGTGTGTCCGGTAACTTGCGTTGGCGTTTTCGATTATACGACAAGTTGTCGGTACGAAGGTGGTGAAGCGAGAGAGACGCCGCCGGCGCTGCGGCCAGTACTCGTCCGGCTCAACTTATCTGCCCGTCCCACCTAGTGCCTTTATGGCGTGGTGGGAGAGTCGACGGTGGCGCTCTGTCGTAGCCAGTGGTGGCTGTTATTAAAGTGTATCAAGGTCACCGCGGTGCCTGAACTTTGTACTGGTCGCAGTTGCGTACCGTGTCAATCTCAAAGGGTTTTTGCAACATTCAAAACTCACCAGAATATCTTTCAAAGAAATCATTATGTTTACTAGTTAAAAGATGGGGATCACATTTAAGTATATTAAATGCAATGACTAGTAATAAATCCTGTCTTCAAAGTTTAGCTGTTTTTCCTGAAGGGTCAGAATTAAAAATGATGCTTTTAAATTAATCTGAATATTGGTTGTTTATTATGCACATCATTGTCATTTTGAATCCTATTGTTACTAGGGTAATAATGATAAAAAATGATGAATCTATAATAAGTTTGAGTTATTTATGTTTTAAGGATATTGATTTCGAAAAAAAAGTTTATTGGAATCTACTGAAATGTTAACTGAGATTGAAAACTCTTTTATGAAAACACAAATGTTAAAGAGTATGGAGTATGTAATAAAACCTATTCATATGGCAGCTCATATGCTTGACCCAAACACCGAATATTTAGAGTATAGAATATGAGATGAAAGGAATTGCTTACATTGAAGAAGCTCATCATTTATTCGATGTCAGATATTATATAATTGACGATAAGCAATGTTTAAATAATTGTTCAATAAAACATTTAGCAAAAACAATAATATCAATAAAAACAACAATAGAGTAAGACTTAATGCATCAGAGCGTAAAACTAACTACGAAAAATAATAATAATAATAAGTGCATGGTATCTCGTGTGGCGAAAGCCACACAATTATATTATTACACAGAGTGAGTTGTCACAATTTGTCATTAACAATATTACTACAACTAACACCAGGTATGAATGAAGGAGAAGAAATAATAAATAATTACAAAATTGACAGATTATAATAATAAATTACAGTATAGTAATTCATACACAGTAAAATAATGAAATTAAAATAATCAGTACAAAATATAATAATTAAAACAATAGTAATTGATATTATAATATATTTATTTTATAAAATGTTATAATTCTATTAATTAATATTATAAACGCGAAAGTTTGTGACTTTTTTACTCTTTCACGTAAAAACTACTGAATTGATTTTTATGAAACTTTAAATTAATATAGCTTATCATCAGAATAACACAAATCATCCTCCTATGTCCAACCAGGGGATGTGCTCAAACGGGGATTAAGAGATTTATGGTGGAAATTTTTGTTTATAAAAGGTTGCCGTGGGTTTTAAAACTATAATAATAATAATTATTGGTTGCCGTGAAATCAGTGTATTCATTCAATGCATTTAATTTTTCGCTGTGTTATGCATCACAATTACGTAAATATTGAGCGTATTATACTCACGTACATGGTACATAAAACAATCACGATGACACGTATTCGTGGACGAGGAGGAAATATTGGTCGACAGACTCGGCATTCAGAATTAGTCCAACCATTTAGGAGGAGTTCAGTAACACACTTGAAATACTTGAAATTTCCAAGTAGTTTTAAGGTCCGTACAGACCAAGCAACATTTTGTTGGCAACACGTTGCCGAATGTTGACAACAAATTTGTCGGATTCAGATACATGTATCTAGATACATGTTGTCAACAGTGTGGCACGTTCAAACCAAATAATAGTTGCGCGTCAACAGTCCACATCCGTCTGTTGTAGTTGTAGTGTGAAGTTGTACTTGTGAAAGTGAAAGTTAAAATATAAAAATATTTAAAAAATAAATACTTTATTTTAAACAAATACTAAATGGATCTGACAACTGCTGCTGCTGGTGTTAGTGCTGCATTCATCATCATAGCTACTCATGGTAAAGTAAGAAAAAGAAGATGGTGGCAGAGAAAATTTTTAAAAAATGGGATAAGCTATGGTGACAACTTAATGTCTGAATTACTTTTAAATGACGGCAGTTCATTCCGCAATTTCGTTAGACTAACTAAATCTGATTTTGAAGAACTTCTCCGTTTGGTAGCTCCTAAGATCTCGAAAAAAAATACAAACTACCGTGCCGCTATTCCGCCATCAATAAGATTAGCGGTTACTTTGCGATATTTAGCCACAGGAGATTCGTTTACTAGTCTTATGTACCTGTTTAAGATATCGAAGCAATCAATTTCTACAATTGTACCTGAAGTATGCGAAGCAATCTTCGAAGTTCTAAAAGGATATTGTCAAGTAAGTAGATAATTAGAAACTAATAATAATAATAATAATTATAATAATTTAAAAAGTAATATATGTTTTTACATAGTTATTGTTTATTTAGAAAAAGGAAAAACTAAACAAATTAATTTCTTGAAAAAAATATATGTACCAATACTACTTAAAAGTAGAATCTTTACTAATATTATTTTATCTAGAATTGGCCCTGCGGACAAGATATTCATTAAGTTCTGCAATGTCACTACTTTGTTGTGGAAAAGCAATTTGTGATTGAGGCTGTTGAGATTCTGGTGATTGCCAAATTATCTGTGTCTGAGTTTGCGGTTGATACTGCATTGGTGTTGATTGATTTTGCTGTTGTAGTGTATGGGAAGAATGCGTTGGCTGACTTTGCACAGATGACGGTGACGGATAGGGAGATGAGGGCTGTTGTAGTGTATGGGAAGAATGCATTGGCTGACTTGGCACAGATGACGGTGATGGGTAGGGAGATGAGGATGTTGTACACACTGATATCTGATAATCTGAAGAATGCGTAGGTGTTGCTTGCGAAGTATTCATTTCTGGATAGTATCTATTATTGATATTATATGGAAATTGATACAAATGTTGTCTTGCACCATATGTTTCCTCTTCAGATACCGAAAAAGCGCCCATTTCTAACTGGAAAAGTATATTATCTATGCGATTTTTGGCAATAGATATAGCTCGCACATTTTGATTCGCACCGCGAATTCTGTTGGCTACGTTTTCCCCATAAACTGAAAAATCATCTTTTACGTTCATATTTTCTTGTACACTTCGCATGAATTTATAGGCTTCATCCACTCTGACATCATTATTTGTTTTTCTTTTTAATTTATTTTTTACTTCTGATGAAGCTCGTCTTATAGGCGAAGATGTTGATGTATTGGCTATACAAGGATAACTTTCATGTAGAGTTTGAACTTCTTCACAGTGTTCGATGGATGAAATACTTAAGTCATCATCATCGTAGTTTTCAGTCTCTTTTTCTGAGTTTTCCTATTAAACATGATTTGTGTTAATTTTAGATTCTAAGCGTAAAGATGGATTTATGTTTATTAATGGTTAGGTATATATACATATATATTATATATATTATACAGTTCATCAATCTTAAAAATCAAGGGTGGTTTCGGGTAGCAAAGTGAATTTATATTTTACTTGGGGAGGAGGGGGGGGGGGCAAGAGTAAAAAATGTTCAGTAGTTTTTAAATGCTTCGTGAAAAACAAAAAAAAATATTGAAAAACGGGAATTTTTACGCAAAACCAGTTTTTTGACAAAATTGAATTTTGAATTTGGCTGTTTCTAAAATATAAAAACTGTGGTTACTATATTGCATATATGCGTAATATATATAAGTATGATATTGTATTATTAATTTTGCAGATACCACGGTCGGAAGAAGGTTGGCGTGAAGTAGCAAATGGATTTTGCTTAAAATGGAATTTCCCTCATTGCATTGGTGCACTCGATGGGAAACATGTACAGATAGAAGCACTAGAGAACAGCGGAAGTGTATATTATAATTATCATGGCACATTTAGTATCGTATTGATGGCTATAGCATATGCTGACTATCGTATTATTTATGCCGATGTGGGATGCCAGGGCAGAATTTCTGACGGTGGTGTTTTTGCAAATACAACATTTTATAATAAACTTATAAACAATGAGTTAAAACTTCCAAAACCGACATGCTTATCAGAGAAAATTCAAAGCCAAGTTACTCCTTTCGTATTGGTAGCAGATGATGCATTTTCATTAAACACAAACCTTATGAAGCCCTTCCCAGGTCCATATCCAAAAGGTTCCCAAGAAAGAGCGTTTAACTATCGATTAAGTAGAGCTCGACGGATTATTGAGAATGTGTTTGGTTTGCTGGCGACTGTTTTCCGAGTATTTAGAAAGCCTATTCCATTACACCCAAAGAAAGTTGAAAGTGTAGTACTTGCTTGCATTTCTCTACATAACTTTTTAACACGAAATGCACAGTCAGTACACACCACCTGGCATATTTGATAGTGAAGATTTAGATACTGGTTCAATAACACCTGGATCATGGAGAGCAGAAACTGAGGGAAGTTTACTTGATTTACAGCGCATCCCAAGAAATGCTTCTCAAGAAGCTAAAGAAATCAGAAAAGAATTCGCCAAATATTTTATTTCAGAAGAAGGAAAAGTACCGTGGCAAGATAGATTTGCATAAATTTTCTGGGCTATGATTATTATTGTAGTTAATGGTTTCTTATTACATTGTCAATTTAATCAAATATAGTTTTTATTATATTTATATTGTTAATCTTATTTAATTGACTAATTAATTTTAAAATTTAACACTATAAGGTAAAAAATATAGTCTTTGTTGTTTAAAAAATTATTTTGCTAACAATAAAAATATTTCATAATATTTATAATAAATTATTTTTATATTAGTGTTATTTCTTATTTTATTTGTATCACGATGGGTGATTATGCAATAATAATAACAACCGTCGTATGACGTACACAATACACATGATTACATGAACAAACCACAAATGGTTGCTTGTAGGTTTATAATTATTTTAAGTTATTTATAGTTATGTCTCAATATTACGATAACGACATCGACAAAAATATAGACATTTTTGATGGCAATAATTTTTAAGTTTACAATAATACAATTTAGTTTATTTATTATAAATAAACAAATTATAATATAAATAGTATTTATTGATTTAGTAAGTAAGTAAAATAAATTCAATTTTAAACTACTACTTCACTTTTTTTTAACTACTAGATACCTACCTCAATTGTACTGCGACTGCCTTTAGAAATGTTATTTTCCACGAGAAACTTCATCATATTATACCCAAACCATATATTATCTTCCGAAATTGTAGCAGCTCCACTTTTACTTTTTTCTCCATTTTCTTCCGTTCCCGGCTAAACTGAGTTTTTAGGGATTTAATTTTCCTTGATACTTCATCCACATTTGTTTTGAAGTGAGATGCTATTTTGGACGTTTCATCAAACTTCAAGTTTCTATCCCGATATTCTTTGGATTGTATGTCCCACAAGGCAGGGGCAGCTTTCAGCATTTCAATGAGTTCTATTACGAGCTCTTTTGACCACAACATTTTTATGCAAAAAATTAAAAAGTACAACTAAACTAACTTAACGATATGTGAACGTGTGTACAAATCAATGACAGTAATTGTTGACAACATCGTCCATACTGAGCGATGTTTTCCATTTCGATTGGAAAACTCAGATACTAGCAACACGCAACAAATCTCTTTGTCATGCCGCCCAACATTGACGTGTATCCGTCAACTTTTAACCAGTTGCTGAGATACATGTTGACAACGTGTTGCCAACAAAATGTTGCTTGGTCTGTACGGACCTTAAGAGTAGCGTCGAGAAAAACTACCGACAAGTTACGTAAATCCGCTAAAAATAGGATTTTAATTTCTAACGCTTTGTTTATCACCATAGCAACGAAAAAAAAATAATAATAATATAAGGACTACGCTAACCGCGCAGAATCGTTTTTCGTATACAATGGTTTATCATTGTATTCAAATATAACACATCCATTACAACTACCGTTAGAAATATGCTATGTACACGGTTAACCGTGGTAAAAATTCGTTGGTTTCGGTTACGATTGAGGATGCAAAAATTCAGAGAATTAACTCGTGGTAATGGTTGTATGAATTATTGACTACAACTATGCTATGGTAAATTGGTAAATAGTATTCGATTGTTGACATTATAATAAGTCATAGGTACGGGGTTAAAAAAAATTGTGCAATGAAAAAAGTGAAATGTTTTGTGGTACTCTTTTTGTAGTGGTATAAACTTGAAATTTAGACCATAGGTTTGAACCAATTTACCATTATTACCTTAGCCACCTAATAAATAATCCAAATTTACGATATTGTAAGAAAAGTAACTGTGATGATAAAAGTAATTAGTAATAATACTGACTTTTATGATCGTGTGTTAAAATAAAAATAACGATCTATGTTTGCCAACAATTTTGTTTGTTAATTTTTTTTATTTTTTGTAGCGTGTCATTAGATTGCCGATTCAACTATTTAAGCTTATCAAAAGGTAGTTAAAAGAAAAAATTTTTTAGGTCTTGTAAATTAAACCTATACCAATTAAAAGTATTAATGCATATTGATATTTTACTAATCTTTAGAGGACCATAGACCATAGTAAATAAACTAGAGAAACAAAATTTATGATTTGACTATCAAAATTTTCAGGAAAAAAAGCTTTACCAGAATCCATTAAAAAATATAGTGGTTACAATTTGAAAAAATAAAGTTGAATTGGCTATTGGTACACCTGTTTAAAAATGTTGAAATTGTAATAAAAAAAATGTCCTGTTAAAAATATTCCATATTATTGTTCTATAATAGTTAAAAAAAAAAAACCCCATGTACAATGACATAAGATACACCCTGTATAATATGTTAAGGTAAGGTTTTTTTTAAATATTTTGTATTTTAATAAGTAAAATGTACCTATAAATACACTGTTCTAGTATATAATTACTAAATTACTATTATTTCATTATTCAATATTTTCTGTATATTGTTATTCTTCATCGCACTGCACTTATATTTTAAATGAGCTTTTATTAACACATTAACGGACACGACTGCTATAGCAGTCATACATATGGCTGTAATTTCATCAACAACCATGATAAAATGAAAAAACTCTTTTATTAAAATATTATCTATACAAATAAAATAAGTTTAGAATGCTTCATGCTTGTTGTGTAGATTTTAATTTTAATTATTTTAATTTCTGTGTATATTATTAATATTCAGACTACAAGATTCAGAACTAACATCGGAAGAATTATAAAAATTGAATTAACATTTATATTATAGGCAATATGGTTATCTATCTATCAGTATAAAAAATCGTGAATTAAACATGTAGACTGGCTATATTTTCTTTCAAACATACAGGCAGTGTTCGGACTTATCTAGATGAATATCTAGATACTTTTTTGTTCATCTTTTATCTTATCTAGATAAATAGTTACAAGGTATCTAAATGGTCATCTTAGATATTTTTTTTACTAATCTAAATGGATTCATCTAGATAGATTTTTTATTGATAAAAATCGCGAAATTGTACAAACGCATTTTTTTATTCAGATTCAGATTCTCAAACTAAGTTTATAGTTTATGAATAATGAAATTTTTAAATAACATGTACAAATATGAAATAACGATTGTGTTATTAATATTAGTTATTTCCCGTTATCGCATGCCATAGCCCGTAGCCCGCAATGTACTATTCTGGGAATGGATATTGCAGTTAATGCAGTTATTGGTTTATTTTGGTCTGTGGAGTGTGAATTATGATCGTCCAATGTTTATCGACTATCACGGACTGTTTATATACCTAATTGAGGGGTTCTTTTCCAAAACTGCCTATTTCCATTTTCGACCAAATTGAGTTTTACATGGAAATATATGTAGAAAAATACGAGAAATCGAATGGCGTGATTATTTTTTGACAAAATGCACTATTTCCTCGTTAAATCTCGATATAAATGTTGCCATTTGATTCAAAGCTTCCTATTTCCATCAATAGTTTTTTTCAAAATGAACCATTTCCATTTATTGCAAAATGCACTATTTCCAACGTAATTAATATACAGATTAAACACTTTTTATTTTTTATGCCTATTTCCATATGTTATAAGTATAGGCAAAATATTTGTTTTTTATCAAAACTGCCGATTTCCGTAAGTCGAATTTTTAAAAGTTTTAAAAAATGTTATCTTTATAATATTGATAACATTTATAAACAAACCTAGTGGAGCAAAACGTTTTAATTTTCAAGACAACATTTGGAACGTTTCAAAACATTTTTCGTTATCATGTGTTGTATATTTACTGAGATAAGAATGCTCAAACTTGGCCTCCCAGCAATATGACGTCTATTAATAACATATTTTATTAGTACGTATACAACAAACACTAATATTTTATACTGATAGGAATATTGACTTATTACAAGAACATTGTATCACCAAATCAATACTATGAAGTGTTTAAAGAAGAAATAAGAATCCACAGTCTTGGTTTATGGCAAAGATTTTTTAGTATATAATTACAAAAATGCAGCTTCAAAATTATTAAAATCAATCTTAGGTTTTAAATCTACCGAACAAAAATGCTTTTCTTACATAAAAGGATTAAAAACTGTTGGAGTATCACCATCATACACTGATACACCAGTAAGAGTAAATGTTTTAAAAAGAAATGCTGATCTCAAAGTTTTTGGTGAATATTTGGAACTTTTACCAAAACAAAGTCATGTCAAGGATGCTAAAAGGATTGATGTGTCTGGTCTAATGAAATTTTTTACCATACCCCCTGACGCAAAACAATTTTATGATGATATTTTATTACAAACAACTATTGAAGATAATGCTTTTAATGAAGATGAAGAAAGTACACCATATTACATTGAAGATGAACAATAAAATATAGTATTGTAAAAAAAATTATAATAAATTGTCATTTGTTGCAATAATGCCATGTCTTATTACACTTAAAAAAATATACATTTAATATTCAATAATTTGTTAAGTGTATTCATAATTTAAGTTTGATTTCATACCTAAATTTTAAGACTTAAAGCATAATATGTCTTATCCATGGGATTATTTTACTTTGTAAAACAATAATGTTACTAAAATGAACAATTTCCGGAAATAGGAAGTTTTGGAAAAAAATAACCATTTTTGTGCAAAACAGACAATTTCCATTTTGTTTTTTCGAAAGCTGACTATTTCCAGGAAATGGTACGTTTTGCACAAAATAGATGTATAAAATTATTAAAAATAGGTATAAGAATTAACTTTTCATTAAATTAAAATTAAAAAATGAGTTAATTTTTTAATTCTACATTTAGACTCATAGATCAATTAAATATTAAACTTTCAATAATGTTGTAATAGATAATTGGTCTTTCTGAAAAATCATGTTTTTGGAAATAGGTTGTTTTGGAAAAGAACCCCTCAATTACATTATAGTTATAACGACGGACTAAGATAATATCATAATATATATATATATATATAATACTAATATATCGTAGTCCGTGGATACAAGTTTACAACTTAGATAAAAACCGGTTGCCGAAGCCCCCCACTGCCAAAGGCGACACGCAAATACTCAAATAGGCATATTTTGGCGTATTTTAGGTTTTATTTATAATTTGATCCGAGGTTTGATCGATTATGCAACTGTCGCGGTCGGCTCCGTTTCTCGATTGTCATCTTTACTCTTTAGTCAGTGGTCAGATATCACTTATTCTCAGTTTGCACTCAACAGTTTATTACGTTACCGTTTTTATATTTTGACATTTGTCGTTGCGAAAGAAGAACAACTGCTAAACGCTATTAAAATTGTTTGTTTATTGTTAAACGTTGATACTAATTCATAATGAAGCGATTTTTAGTTACAAGTTCTGAAAATAATAAAAAATGTATTAAAGAAGCTATCGATATACCTTCACCGGCCACACCTGGTTTAAATGAATCAATGGTTCACAATCTTTCGACTAGTTCAAATTCAGCTCAAAAAATTGATAAAATTACAAATAATTATTTGTTTGACGGTACATTTTATAAAGTTATTTCAATTATTGATAATAAATTGACTGCTGATTGTCAATCGTGCAATAAAACAATACATGGGCAAATCAATTCCACAGGAAACTTTTTAAAACATATTAAGGTATGTATGCTAATCCTATGTAGTTATTATTTATTTATTTATTAATTATTATAATAAAACAGGTGTTTTACCCAATACAATGAATACTATTAAATTACCAGAATTAAACAAATAATGCAAAATGTATATAATTTAATTCAATAATAATATTCAAGGTTTACATTTCAAATAATTGATCCATATTGGCAAGATAAATAAATTATTATGTACAAGTAGGTTAATAAAATAAAACTGTTTTGTGGTTAATATTAGTATATACGAATAATAAAAATAATAAAGAAATAGATAGGTATATGAATATGACCATTTACAAATTATTACTAGGTATTAATGTCTAATTAATTTTATTATTTCAT